TAAGTCTAAGAGCATGGAGGAGATTCCAGGGGACAGGCAGTTATTCTGAAAGCTGAATAGGGCCTTAACCCATCAGCAGGACCGTAACTGTTTCTTTGTGTAAGGAGGAACAGGATGAGAACTACCAGAGCTACAAAATTACCTCCAGCAGGCCAGTGAAGTGAATGTCTTTGTCAAGACAATCCGAAACAAACTTCGTGAGCGTGGCCTGAGGGCCTGATGTCCTCTTGTGGGCTCTGTGTTCACTGCCTGGTACAGTGACGCCTGATTGGCATTTGCCATAGAATACCAGAGTTGACCATCTCTGGCGCCCTGTGCTTTTCACAGACGAGAGCAGAATCAGACTGAGCATGGAGAACGTTATGCTGTAACATTGTTCATCATGTCTGGTTTGGTTCCTCCTGGCATGCCACAATTCCCAACCTCGTGAACAGAGTTAGTTCCTGGAGGATGAAGGAACTGATACCATTGATTGACCCCCACATTAACCTGATCTAAATCCAACAGAACACCTGTGAGACATCATGTTTCAGTCCATCTGACGCTACCAGGTTGCACCTCAGGTTGTACAGATCTGAGAAGAGATCCACCCTGGACGCCATCATCATCTCATTAGGGGCATGCACCGACTTTGTCAAGCATGCATACAAGCACTTGGGGGCCAAAATGGACTGGTTTTTGAATTCAGCCCTCTGTCGGTTGATCATTTCTATTTCTATCAAATGATGTAGCATCCTTTCATTCCAAGCGCATGAACCATTCTGTATCACTGTGGGTATCCAGCATTATTTTTCCCCCACTGAGTTTTTTTTTTTTTTTTTTGAGCAGTGTATATTTGCTCATAAATTGTGTTTTTTCCTATCCTTAAACAAAATGACATAAGAGTGCAAACTAATTCTCACTTTCTACTTTATGAAGGTGTGGCTTGGTCCAGTTTATTTTTAGAGTAAATTAAGCAGCTGATATGATAGAAGATATTTTAAGGGAAGGCTTTCTCCAGCCACTAAACTCAGCTTACATCTTGTACTCCGAACCTCTAGGCAGCGACAGAGAGCCCCAGCTGTTACTCTCCTGTGCGTAAAGATGGCTCGTTGGTCAGGCGCACCAGCTCTATCCGTGGACCCTCCCACTAGTGGAAGAGTGACACGCCATTCAATTGCTGCCTGGCCCGCTGCATGTAGGAAACAGGAGGGAGCTTTGAGCACAAGGATATCTTACTATCAGGCAGGAGGAGGGAGAAAACCCGGCTACAGTGAAGCTAAAGTTGGACGAATCGCGTCGACATGGGGATCCGAAAAAAGACTAACAAGAATCCGCCGGTGCTGAGCCATGAGTTTGTCATCCAGAACCATGCAGATATTGTTTCCTGTGTTGCTATGGTGTTTCTCCTCGGCTTGATGTTTGAGGTGAGTCCACATGTTGAATGGCTTATTTTAAACTGTGGATCATTCGAAGGATGCTCGGCAGGAAAAGTGAGGGGGATTATCGCTAGAATGAATGCCGAATACTCCCAAACGGTTCTCATGAGGACTGACATGGCTGTCTGATCTATTCTTCACACTACTTCCTCTCGTAATCGAAACTTTTCCCCATCACGATGGCCTCGCGTTTGCGTTTCATTCCAGAGCGTTCTAACCTCACTCAACTGCTCTCGGGTAATGTTATTTACAGTGACTAAATATGAGGGTTTTTTTTAAGCGTCGTGGGAACTATTTCACTCGCATCTGGCTGCTTTCCCACCTAAAATTCAACAGGCTATTTAAGAAAAAAAAATCATCGACACTAAGGCCCGCGGTTCGATTATGCACGCAAAAAGAAAACCAAAAACAAAAGTATATATATTTTTTTGCGATATGTTTTGCAGAAATTTCCCATCAAGCGGCAAGTTTGCATTGCAGCACTTTATCGAGCTCAGTGGTTACGGTGTTTTGCAACACTCTGGACTTGGGTTAGTTTGTATGTGTTACGTGGCAATCGCGCAGCGGTTCACACAGTGCTGTCATCACCGAAACCCGCTTTCTCCGTCACTCAAAGTTGTCACCGGAGCTGGGAGAGCGCTTCAGACGTGACCGGACACAGCGAGCCGACACACGGGATCGTGTCACACACACGGCAGTGTCTTAACGCGCTGCAATCTGCTCTGCTTTGAAGCAAATGTGCGTTAATGTCAAAGCGCGTTTCATCCCAGACGGAAAAAAAGCACAACCGCTGCTGGTGTCCAGCCGGCCATAATTAAAACTGCTTCCTGTTTGTGCTTTCCAAAGTAAAACTCCTGGGAACTACGTGCTGTTGGCAGCGTGGATGTTGAAAAGCGTGATATTTGCAGGACTTGTTAGATTTATCTGTGCTACTTTAGCTTTAGCTCTTTTTTTCTTTGCTTTGAGATATTTATTTGTTGCAAGCCGGGTTCTCTTGCTGTGAAGGACTAATATGCAACTTCCAACTGATATCTCATTAGCTGCCTGCCTTGATTAAGTTATCTTTACTTTCAGTGAGCGTAAGGAGTTTGTTGCTCTACATAATTCACATTTAGTGTCATGCATTATCTCGTGTTCTTAAATTTTCTGACTAAAAATGTTGTATACAAAAAATACATAAGCAAAATTAAAGTAAAACAATTGGAAGGCATAGAAGTGTCAAGTATTTGTACCTGTTTTTTTGCTTTTTGTTATAGTTTTCCCTCTTTAGGCCAGGAAAACAAATATCTCCACTATAAATATAACTATAACTGCACAAAATTAGTGGGACACAAAGGAAAAACTCTGACTTCTTGTATTAGTAAAAGCCTTTTTACTCATATGGACACGAGTATCTGGCCACCTACACACTGCACCTGCAGGATTTTTTATGACATCCCATTCTAAGTACATAGGTATTACATAATATGGAGTTGGTCCCCACCCCCCCTTCCT